TTTTTTTTTTTTTTTTTTTTTTTTTTTTAATTATTATTATTTTTTAAACATTTTCTACCTCTGGATACTGCTGTGATGTATGAAGGTCATCTTGACCACTACCCATCTTGCAATTATAATGGAATATGCATCCGGAGGAGAGCTCTTTGAGCGTATAAGCAATGCAGGACGCTTTAGTGAGGATGAGGTCTTGATTCTTGAATTTACTTCTTATTTTTTTTCTATTATTTCTCTCTTAGGCATTTGATCTCTTACTGTTTTGGTGTAGGCTCGCTTCTTCTTTCAACAACTTATATCCGGAGTCAGCTACTGCCATGCAATGGTACTTCAACTGTTATATGCATCTTCAATCCTTATCATCTTCTTTTGTAAAGTCATATCCTTTAAGGTAAGTGGATTTTTTTTTCTTAACTTTTTTTTATTTGCTTTTATTGGTGAAGCAAGTGTGTCACCGGGATTTGAAGTTGGAGAACACTTTACTGGATGGAAGCCCAGCCCCTCGTTTGAAAATATGCGACTTTGGCTACTCAAAGGTATTGATCACATGAACTTTAGCTGATACTTAAATCTTTACTCCTGTATAATTGTTCAGTTGTATGGAATGCCTTTCTGTTTTGTCCCCTTTTATAACTTAGTTTTGAGGATATTTTCTTGTTTAGATGTCAGCTAACCTTTTATGTTTCTCTTGAAGGTTGATGTGCTCTTTTAAACTTGTTTTATGTTCATTTGCTAGATAAGATTTGAATCTATATTTAGTTCTATCTATCAGATTCTAAGCTTCATGGCTGCGGAAGGACTTTGGTTGGGTAGTCTGATTGATCTTATTCATTGACTTTATTTTCTAATTAGTCTCGATGTAAAGATTGTCATGTTGAATCAATTCTTTCTAATTATCGCTATGTGGCTTCATCACGATGGAATGCTGATATTCATTATGTTCTCCAGTCATCTGTGCTCCATTCACAACCAAAGTCAACTGTGGGAACACCTGCATACATTGCTCCAGAAGTGCTCTTAAGGCAAGAATATGATGGAAAGGTAAGATTCTTCTATATTACTTCTGGATATCTTCAATGTGGTGTCTGATGTCTGCATTTTACGGATGCATGAATTCTTAACTACCGATTTCTGAACAACAGTTTGGAATATTCCTCATCCGTCTCTATCCAAAAGATCTACGGCCCCACGTGGGTAAACTTTATGGATCATGAATGGGACCAACTCTTTTGATCAATGAAAAATTTTCGCTTACAAATGTTTAAATCATGCCACTTTGATTCTTTCTTTCGATATTTTGGCATTGTTATAGGCATATAGCCTCATCTCTTCTAGCTCGTTCAACTTCAGTTTGCGTGCTTCACCTGCCACATGGATACCTAAATTCAGCTTTTTCATTGCGCAATCAGCTTTGTATTCTGAAAATCTGAGACATGTCTTCCTATATGCTGTTCTCAACCTATCCAACTAGAGCCCTTGCTTAAGTTGGACACAGTTTAGGTTAGTGGCAGTGCAAAATTGCTAGTCTATTTCGGCTGTACTTCTGGTGCTCAAATCATCAAAATCAATTCCTAGCTCCTTCATATTAAATTGGATGATGATGCGACTTGTATGGTCAAAAGCTTTGGTCAACTTCACTGATGAAAGATGAATAACCTATAAGCTTGCATCTTAGAAATAGATTCAATTACGAGATTTTGCAAATGCTTATAAGTACTTCTCCTACAAGCTGTACTAATTTTCCAGGTTCTAGTTGCTTGCTGTTTGTTTCCTACCAACTTTGGCCATCCTTTTGTCATTTGATGGGTGGCCTTCTTCTTTCTTCTTTTTTTCTTCTCCCTTTTAATTAGCTATGAATTGGGAAATGGTGGTCTTCAACCCTCATATCCCCTTGACTCAAACCATTTCAGTTCTGAATATCTTGTGAACTGTAGGTCAAACCTGTATCTGACTGCTTTATGTTTTTCTTTTTCTTTTGTTTTCTTTTTTGGTTCAAGAATGAAAGATACACAACTGGGCAAATACAGAGAATAGCCCAAGGCAAAAGGATCCTGGACAAAAAGCCAAAAGCCTCTACAAAAGAGGCTCCAATTACTTAAAATAAGATGAAAAGGATAACTATAAACCAAGGGGGAGGTTTTGAACCTAATCGAAGACATAACATTTCCGCATGACATGACATGTGTCTGCTTTGTTGTTGTGATTGAAACAGTAGCATTGAATTCTTTGGGCTTTGGTGACAAGGTTTTTTTTTTTTTTTTTTTTTTTTTTTTTGTAATTATCCTTTAGGTCCTATTTTTCCTCGATTGGAGTCTCCTTTCTTTAGTTTAACTCTCTTTTTTTTCTGGATTTTTGTTATTTTATTTATTTTATTATTATTTTCTTTTTTTGTATGCTATCCTATTCTTTCATTGTTTCGAGATAAAAGTTTGGTAATTCATTAAAAAAAAAAACATGGAACTCTGTTCCAAACTAGAAATTATTCTCAATTCTCATCCTTGTCAATACCGGTTCAATCTTTCCCGATAAATTAACATGTTACACGAATTTTTATTCCAAGCTTAAATTTATATTATATTCTTAGTTGAAAGAACATATAAATTATGTAATAGACTTAACGGTGTTACAAACTTATCATGCCTTGAAATTACACATTATGGTAGCTGTATCGAAGTCTATAGACAGTTTTGTTCTTCATCGTGGATTACATCTTGATTGTCAAATAAACTTGTAAGTACTTACTGAACTTCATGCACCACACTACATCTTAGCTAGATTGTAGTTGGACTTTGAAAAACATTGTAGTTAGACTTTGAAAAACATTGTATTGTAAGTACTTACTGAACTTCATGCAACACACTACATCTTAGCTAGATTGTAGTTAGACTTTGAAAAACATTGTATTTTGATTCTGTACGCAACATCAGATTGCAGATGTATGGTCATGTGGAGTGACCCTTTACGTAATGCTTGTTGGAGCCTATCCTTTCGAGGATCCTGATGAACCAAAGGATTTCCGAAAGACCATACAAGTATGAAATATTGTCCTATTATTTGTTCTTCTCTGATTTGAAAATGCATGAACTCAAGATTCTTCTACTGGTTCGTCGCAGCGAATCCTAGGTGTCCAGTATTCGATTCCCGATTGTGTTCAAATATCTACTGAGTGTCGCCATCTGATATCAAGGATTTTTGAGGCAGATCCTGCAACGGTACGACTACCAAAATAACTTGTTTGTTTGTGCTATAGTATGAAGAGTATTTATTATTCTTATTTATATATCCCGGTTCTGCTGTTTCCTCAAAATATCTCAAATCGGTCATATTTTTGCGACAACACTTTGAAATCTCCAGGCCAGGGATTTCTATCTCATGCGTTTAGTGGGAGGTCTTAAATTCTAACACAAACTGATCTTATCTTTTTCTTTGAGCCGTCCTCCTATTTTGCCTGGGATGTGTTGCATTGGTTGCTTTTCCTTGGTCTGAAACATTGGACTCATCATGCCCAAGTTTTCATAGCTTATTTGAACAACCTTTCTGTCTTCATTTTGCCAAATTACTTCCGTTACTTGAGTAATTATAAAGGTTTCTTTTTTTGAAACTTGATATTACATTGCACTGAGCACTAAGATTTTTTGACGAGTTATTTTCATTTTCATTTTTTTTTTTACTTTTTTGTTTTCCCAACCGTTTTTAGGATTGAGATTGGATGACTTGGATTGAGGTTATTATCAACAAAGCATGATTTTGAGAGGAGATTAACTTCGTTTACTCTCAAAATCAATCAGAAGCAGTCACCTAAACATATTTTCACTGCATTTGTGTTGTAATAATAAGAAATCAGATAGCTTTTTCAAAATAGAGTCTAGACAAGTCCTAAACATCTGCAAATTCTAATATAGTAATTTAATTCTCGTAATCATTTTTCTACAGAAGAATATAGACATTTTCACATAAAATTAGTCACTGACTGAATCAGCAACTCAACCTTTTGTCGATTTGGATTGCAACTTCAAACCCAAGCAGAATAATTAATTTTTTGAAATTTGTATCTCTGTAGTTTTATATTGTTTAAGTTTCAGCATCGAGAAACTCCATCTCATCCAACAACGGCTCATATTTACTCTCTTTCATGTGTTTACACGACAGAGAATCACTATTCCTGAGATTAAGAACCATTCCTGGTTTTTGAAGAATCTCCCATCGGACTTGATGGATGAAAACACAATGGGAAATCAATTTGAAGAGCCTGATCAACCGATGCAGAGCCTCGATACAATAATGCAGATAATTGCTGAAGCCACAATACCGGCAGTTGGTTCACATGGCCTTATGTGCATGACAGATGACCTTGAAATGGATTACGACGACGACATGGACGATCTGGATGATGAATCTGAGCTCGATATAGAAAGCAGCGGTGAAATAGTGTATGCACTTTGACAATTGATATCAAAGTGCAGAAATGAAAAATTATGGGACTTTTCTTTTGGGACTGGTTCTGACTTTGAAAGAATTTGTTAAGAGGAAGACTACATTAGCTAGCTTGTTCTCATCAGTTTGTAGATTATATTTACAAGTACTCCAGGTTTGCCTCCTCCTTTGGATTATGCCACGTCAATAAAACGCAGCTATTAATCCGCGTTGTTGGAAAAGATTTAAAGGCTGAGTTATGAAGAAGACAGGTTGGGATGAAAGTAGAATGCTGTTAAAAGGTCAGCCAGTTGAACTTGGTGTTGCTATTGCTTTTGACAATGCCTTTGTATTTGTTTGTGGTTGTTATTTGGCATGAATTTATGTACAAAAGTTATGGAGTTTCTGTGTTATGATTTATCCCTTTCAGGCGTTGCTTCTTAAGTTATGGACTATCTTTCTAGTTGCACCACAAACAAAATTCTACTTCATTTCAAATAGATAGAGGTATTAGTAGGAATAGGGTATGTGGATTCATCTCCAGTTTTGGTTGATCAAATAAAGCCCCTTTATATTTCGGTAGCAGCTTCTTTTCATGCAAAACTGCTCCTTTCCCCAACCAACTGCTATTCTCTGAAGTGTCTAATTTGTTGCTCTTGCAGTAGTGAGTTGAGTTCCTTGAATTTGTGAGCCCTTCAACACCCACAATGCTTCTCCACTTTGTTTTCCTTTCTAGAGTTTGTTAGGTTTGTCCAGTAAACTAGTTCTTTATTTTTTGTGGTTTTTGAGTTTACTCCAAAATAAAGTTATATGAAAAGAAATATAACCAAAATAGTGCTTACGTTGGTGATCAAATTTTTATATACGGTACTACGTGATGTGCAATAATTGTGATGATCAATCCTCGATGTCGGATCATGCTTGTGCAAGACTTGTTACCTATAGCCGCGGGCCGAGTGTCATGACCATGCTTGTCTAGGGTGTATTGCATGTTGCCGCATTTCTATTCCAAATCCATTTTACATGTTTCCGTGTTAGCTATGTCTTTATTATTTTTGTTATGTCAATTCAGGGATGTATAACCGTTCGCCAAAATCACGTCAAAACTTATCATGGCTAAAATGCCTCAAAATGTACTTTAGGAGGATGCGACTAGTCGTTAGTTCTTCCTACCTAGGGTATACGCTATCAAAGTCGTAATTGCTCCTTATTTGCTTGCTAGCCTAACGTTGCTTTCTTAAATTGATTTTTAAACATTTTCTCAAGAACGGGGCCAAAGACTTGAGCATACATCACTCATGTCAATAACAACTCAAACTCTAGTAGGCTGACTTGAGAGTGAGAGTATGTGCTGCACAATCGTGTTGCGAGTCATGACAGGATGCGATTGTGACAATTAGTATCAGAGTCTAATCGATTTCTTAAATCTGATTTAAGAAACGTTTCCACTGCAAAACAACTAGGCAAGTCCCAAGTTCACCGATCAGTAGAGATCAAAGAGCAGATGCTCTACCTAAATGAAGTCCTGTGATAGTTTGGGATTTTAGATTGCCACTAAAGAAAATAAAATCAATGAAGTGGCAGGCCGCCTTGCGGATATGCCCATCCATGAATTGATATTAAGAGTTGAAACAGTAGGAGACAAGGCCACAAAAGCTGGTGACTTCGAGCATGAGGATAGCACAACAGCCTTTGTTGCCCAAATGGAGGAATGTACATAGGGCTTAGACAATGCCCAAAAAACGACCGTTCAAAATAGTCTCATAAATGTTTGAAGACGTAAGGGTAGCCCTTGATGTGGTCAGGCTGAAGTGTCTAAGCCCCCAGTTAAACCTCACCATGAGAGCCATTGGGAACCAAACCCCAGATAAAGGTGCAGTCTAATATAACAAGGTAAAAGTCTCTAATAGTCCGGAAGCTTAAGCACTTCTTTGGGGTTTGAGATTTCAAGACTTTGGAGAACTTTATCATTGACCTCGAATAGTACTTTTCGAGATATAAGTATCGTGGTAGAGGAAAACGAATGTCACATTGGCAACAATATATCTACCTAATGATGCAAAGTTGTGAAGATTTAAGTACATAGACATTCAAGATGGTTGATATATCGTAGACACTTGAAAGAGCTCAAAACAAGAACTCTGCTTGCGGTTCTTCTAAGAGAATTTTGAGAAAATAACCGGAAGAAAGTTGAGGGAATTAAGGCATACAAAAAAAAACTTGTTGAGACTACATCAACATTTTTTTTGGATTGATATTGAATATTCTGTATATGTCCAAGAAAGATAAGATCTTCAGTTTTTTCGAGGGGCTGAAGTCTTGGGTGAAGACCATACTCTACTAACTAAGAGTTTAAGACTCTTCTATAATCTATGTTAAAATCAAATGACTATTTCACCTTAGCAACAACCAATTCCGAGATATGAGGCAAAATTAGACTTCCGTAAGTTGAGGTAATATAAATTACATATCTAACTTCCCCAAAGATAGAGACGGTGACCTGGAGGGGGGGAGTGTGAGTCCTTCTCTAGTAAAAATTCATAACAAAAGAACAGTTACATTCAAGGGCTCTACTTGCTTCATATGCAAGGGACTCATGGAGAATCTGAATGTCCATAAAAGTCGACACTTCATATCTTCTAAGCCAAATTTAGAACGAATTTAAAAGCTAATTACGAGACGATGAAAATTGAAACACCGCTAGTCGAAAACATTGTAAATTTCTCGCATGGGGCCCTAAAGTATTTATCTACTCTCCAGAAGAAAGTGGGAGAGACAAAATTGCCAACGGAGCGGAGTTTTATGTATATTGAAGCTTAGGTTAACCACAGATCGGCCAAGAGTACTAGGGTTGACTCTGGAGCCACCCACAACATGTCGGAGACCGAAGCGAAACGCTTGAACATTCTTTAGTATCGAGATACATGAAAGATGAAAGTTGTCAATTTGGTAGCCCAACACATCTTAGAAGTTGCAAAGAGAACTCCAATCAAGATAAAGACTTGGAGTGGATAGACCAATTTTGTGATTATCAAGATGGATGACTTCAACATCATGTTAGAGATGGATTTCTTACTCGAACATAAAGTCATTTCCACGTCCGTAATACATTATGAGTTGTGTTAATGATCACTTGTCTAAGGCGTGTTGTCTAGGACTGTATACTCGTTCTAAATCCTTTTTACTTCCTTTCATGTTCGTTAAATCTTTATTATATCTTTTATGTCAATCCAAGGGTATATAATCAATTGTCAAAATCATGTCTGTATTTATCAGGACTAAAATACCTCAAAATGTACGACGGGAGTATGTGACTAATTATCAATTCTTCCTACTCAAGCTATACACTATCAAATTGTGGTTGTTGCTTATTTGCTTGCTAGCCTATAACATTATTTTTTAAGATCGATTTTCAAACATTTTCTAGAACTTTATCTAGGATTGGAGACTTGAGCATATATCATCTATGTTAATAGCGACCCAAATTTAAGTTAGCTGACTTATTAGAGGATGAGGATGAGAGTAGGTATCGCACAAAAGTAAAATTGTTGGTTGTTCACTTGGTTCGTAGCAGCACAGCCATGTGCCGCGGACATATCCATTAGCCAATTACTTCGTTTAGAATGAATGCATTACCAAATTGCCAAGTCACTTCTTCATCTGTATCCATCTTATATATTTTGGATCGCACGTAAAGTTTATTTATAAGAATAATATGGATAAAAAATACTTCCTTGAATCTTTAGGTCCATTTTCTATTTAGTTCTCAATTTCCAAAATCCACTATATTTTTAGTTTCCAATTTGATTTGATTTATTTATTAAATTATAAGATGTTACGTATTATTATTATTATTATTTTTAATGTTAGTACCAATTAATTAATTTAAATGTAAGTCCATGACCTTATTTTAAAAGTATTTATTACGAGATTACGCATGTATTTTAAAGCATGCATGTAACATCACTAATTTAGGAAAAGAAAATTAGGAGGCGTTAAAAGAATCAATGAATCATTATACAATCATTTTTTTCTTTTAATCGACTACGTCTTAAATTAATACATACAAAATGGGTGGTGCCTACTCTTAACTTCTGCATCAGTAAGAATGTGTTCTTTCTATAAGCTACAGGAGACAACTTAACGTGTTTTCTCGTCTGCTATCATTGGAGCAGAAGCATTTCTGAATGAAAAAATACACTACATTTACATTACCTCAATTGATGATATGACTTCGAATGGCTCCAGGTCTGAAGGCCTTCAATATTCCACACATACAAAGAATAACTAACTTCAATATAACTCAATTGATTAGTAGCTTCATTCATAGTATTTGAGAAAGGAAGATATTTGAAGGGCTCGAAGATGACGCTTTTGGACTAACAGAATCGTCCAAGCTTGAAGCAAAGTTGGAGCTAAATCAAAATTGGAACTCCATGCTTCAACAAGAGGACCTCTGGATGGGGCTGATGCCTCCCAATTCCTTTATTACTCCATGGGAAGCTCCAGAAATTTCGTCAAACTGCGTGTAAAAAGAAGACAAACTTATACAACTCCAGTCAAAAGAAAACTTGATTTCAGATGAAACTAAACCAACCATACCACCAGTCAAATGGTCAATTTCATTTTCTTTGGTTTCCAAGTGAGATCAATAGGTCGGTTTCAGTTTGTACCCACAAATAATTGACTCCAACGGACTGATATTCAACCTAAACCTTTTATGAGATCTCACACCGATTGGAGAGGAGAACGGAAGCATTCTTTCTAAAGGTCTGGATACCTTTTCGTAGTAGACGCGTTTTAAAACCGTGAGGCTGACGGCAATACGTAATAGGCCAAAACGGACAATATCTGCCTGCGGTGGACTTGGACTTAGACTGTTACACGCCCAAATTCCTCCTTCCAGACAAATGAGACCTTTCTTTTCTTAAATTTCAGAAAAGGTTCTTTCATTCCATTACAGATTCAAGTTTCTTATGTAAGAGTACCCTTCCAAGTTCCAACCCAATTCTGAAGAAAACTCGACATACCTTACAAATATGTTTGAAGGTAGGATTAGAACTCCACATATTTTTGGATTCAATAGCGCTTAGATCAACTTGAGGCCAGAAGAATCAATAACGGTTGGGCACATTCTTTCCGAAACCTCAAGTCTAATTAGGAAAAGATCTTTTAATTGACAAGAAACAACTATACAACCAGTATAAACAAAATTCTTTCTTGATACCAAGAAACCTCACACAGCCTGAATCAGATGCCCCATGACAAAATTTCTTATAACCAGAATCCTTCATAATTTTAGTGATGGGCAAGAGTGCCTTATTTAGCTAAATGGGTTTGATAACATACCCTGTAGAAAAACTATTCACAGATTTCCAGGATACATCAAAAGAGATGATATAAATTAATCAACACAAACAGAAATTTTCTGATAAAATATTAAA